AGAAATAGTATCTGAAATTGGGCAGTTACAGCAATTGCCAAACTAGTCAACATAACAAGAAGGGTGGGGTTGGCTAAGTTTCTCAATGAATATTACTTCATTTTAAATAAATTATGTAAAACAGTTCTAATAGAACCCATTAATTTGGATTCCACTAATCAGATAATTCAGACAAAGCCTGTACTGTTTTAAGCTCTATATTTCTATATAATTACTAGAGGCCCTCTTGCAATCTGGGACCCCTAGGGGGATGTCGGACTGCCGGTTTTGGCCCGATCCCCACAAGCCAGGCCGAGGGATCCCACTGGTGCATGAATCCGTGCACCGGGCCTCTAGTATGCATATAAGACCTTTGGTTAATCTCTTCCCGCCCTCCCCTCTCCCCACTTCCTTCTGAGATTCATCAGTCTGTTCCATGTTTCCATGTCTGTGTGTTGAGCATCTGCCCCCTGGTGGTCAGTGTGCATCATAGCTACTGGCCGAATGGTCGAACGAAAGGTTGCGTAGGCTTTTATATATATATAGATAATTTAATTATGAAAAAAATCTGTATGTAAGCAGTATAAACACAATTGGAGGAGTTATCACTTAAGAGAAAAAGAAAACTCTCAAGGGTACCTTAGAACCTCTAACCAATAACTAAAAGGCTGAGTAAAATCCTATCATTGAAGCAGAAGCTCAAATAAATCCGCAAACCAAAACCTTGATAATCTGGAGATGGCTTTTTGAAAGCATGTCTTCTGAAAAGCAGTCTGCAAGTCACTTTCTATGATCTCAGATGGCCAGTTCTTTACCTAAATCCATCATTCCAAATTAGTGAAATATTGGTTGTATGAGCAATGTTAACAAAATATTGCAGGATGTCATTTTGTTTTACTAAAGGCAACTAAAATGTTTGACATTTTAGTGTAAGTTTTTGTTTCAGATTTTGTAGAGGAAATTTTTAAAAAAAAGAATCGACCTATATCCCTGCCCCCTGCATAATGCCCTATGATAGTGACACGCAGGGACGCTCCTACTGTCTGAGCCTCAGGGGCCTCATCTGTAAAATGGGGATAATTGTGACCTACCTCATAGGCTTGATGTGATAATTAGTGATTTGCATTAAGCAGGAGATGAGTAAGCACTCAGACTCTACCCTTCCCTTTCTGAACTTTTCGGAACATACTCCTTTGCTGCCCTTGACTATTCGTTGTAGCCTAAGAACAAAACTTAGTTCAGTGGTGACTGAAGCCAAACTTTAGGTCTTCTGCCCAGTAAAAGTGGGCTGCAGATCTTGCCTTATTCTTTCAGCCAACATTTTTGAAAACCTCCTATTTATAAGAAACAGTACAAAATAGCTTAGAGCAAAGTCCAATAGTCGTCTTTTAGGCATAATTTCAAAAGCTCTTTGTCTGCCTAAGTGCTGGAATGTACACATCACCCAGGGCTTTGAATTAAGGCATTGAAAACCACAATTCTTAAATATATATATATGTTGTTATAAGGTTAGGATTGCTAACATCACACCCAGTAAGCATAACCTGTTTCTTTCTTTTTATGTTCACTAGGCTACATTAGTTTATGGCTTTAAAAATTGTATATAATATGTTACACAAAATTATATTGAGGAAGAGACTTTCAGCAATTGTTTCCATTTTTCTTTTTCAGATTTAGTTGGTTCATTGGAGACTCCAAGATGTGCCCTGCTATGGTGTCTGCTTAGTAACTTTTGAGGGAGTAGCCTCTGCCGTGCCCTTTGCTCATGGGTTAACAGCCTGGGATTGGCTCACTCAATAAGTGAGATAGCTCACCCTTTGCCCTTTTTTTATGACATGGAATTCTGAAAAACGAAGAGCTGGTGAGGCTGCATTTTCCAGCTTTGGCCGGGGCTAGCAACCTTTGCATCTTATGTCTGTCCCTCTTAGCATCTAACATTATTTTCTTCTCGCCGTTTCCCCGTTGCCGATCATAAATGGTTAACCAGAGCTCTGCTGGGCAATCCCCCTGCAGCCCCCAGTCCATGAAGCCTGCTGCGCCCCCCCTTCCCTCCCTGGCTCCTTCCTCTAGTCCGGCCCCACAGGCTCCCCTGGCCTCTCTTGGCTCTCTTGTTGTTCGCTCTGCGCCTTTGTGACAACCTAGGGCCTTTTCTTTTCCTCTTCCTTCCTTTCTCCTGGGATAGCTCTATACGCTCTTGGACCCAGTTGAAACAACACAAAGTAAAAATAAATGAAAACAAGAAACCAGTTCTGTGCCGAGCCAGCAGAGCATGTCCATGGGCCAAAGTGGAGCTTTTGGTGTTGCCCTCTGCTTCCCTAGGACCGTGAGAGGCAGCAGCAAGGATTTCCATGTGCAACGAAAAACCCACCCTAAACCCCAGAGGAAACACTGTGATAACACGGACTGTGAAATTGGCTCTCATCGCCCTCGGTTTTCCCCTCCGCCAGTGTTCTTAGAAACGGGGAAGTCAACAGAAGCGTCTGCTTCTACATATTTGGCAGTCGTAGAGCTTATTAAGTAATTTTGAAATTCTTACAATTTTGTTCACATTTCAAAATAAAGTTCATCTGCAGGAGTCCTTGAATCACTTTTTGGGTGCTCAGAGAGATCGAATGCCAGGGCGTGAAATGTCGCTGAGGTAGTTGCAGGAAATTAGCCATCTTCTCTTGTCAGCAGTAGTTGTGTATTTTAGCTGTTTGACTCACTGCAGCAGTGGGCAGCCTGCTTGCTTGTGAACTGTCGTCAGTTACCTTCCCCAGCACATGTTTTCAAACAAGGCAGGTGCCTCCTTCCTGACTGCCGGCATCCTAGTCACTTTGTGGCCCTGACATCTTCACACAGCCCGTGGTCTCCTGCACACATCACACTTCAGCAAAGCATCACCTGGGACTAACTCACAACTGTTTTCATATATATTTCAGAAGCTTGTGTCCTTTCTCTCTTACTCTGGGTTTTATGCAAGTATAACTGAATTTGGACAAAAGATGCTCTGAGAGAACCCTGTTTTAAAGGATTCAGGGTAGCGCGTTTGAGAACGATGAGTGCATCAGTGAAATAGTCACCTTGTACTTATTCATGTTGTAGGTCCAGACGTTTCCCCAGTGGGTTTGCACGGAAGGATTTGGTTAACAAATGCGTTTTCTCTGGGAAGGGCGCTTTCCAAAGTGCTACACAAAGTGCCTGGGTTTAGACACATTGCAGTTATTAAACAAATAGTGTATCATTTTATACTATATTAGTGTACACAATAGGTACACAATGTTATATGTCAATTACATCTCAATAAAGCTGGGGGAGAAACTGTGTTTTCTTTGCAGCAACTATAATAAGAAGAAATGGATACATTTCAAGATGGGCTGTTTTGCATACATATTATAAATGAATTGAAAAGTGATTAGAATCTATCTGTGAATTCTTTTTAAAAAAATCAATGTAGAAATATCAACTCTAGGAAGGGAATGAGAATGGCTAGTGTGTGCCTACTATGTGCCAGGTCCTGGAGAAAATATTTTAATATCAAATGCAGCTCTGGGGAGGGTTTGAAATGGCTGGCTGTAAGGATTCCATGACATAAGGTGTGCAGAGCATCTAGTGCCACACTGATGTAATAGCAGATTAATAAATATTAGCTGTTTATTTTATTCCATTCAGTCCTTTGATATAGTCAGTATCCCCATTGTACAGATTAGGAAGACTGAGTCTGGATTGATCTAAGTAACTTGGACCAAATTTTCAAAATTAGGTTGCAGAGGCAGAATTTAGAGCCAGGGTTCTGCTGGACACGCTGATAAAAACCTCTAACCAGGGGTTATTCTTCTAGGCTGCCAGGATGATCTGTGCTAGGGATTTTTTTATGATGGGAAAAACCATCCCGGCTAGAATACAGTAACACCCACTACTGAGAGGCAAAGTTTTCTTTACGGGCAGCAAATTCACATATAATGTATAAGTAAACATTCAGAAAAACATTCAAAGGGCCCATCTCAGCAGTCAACCATTCTTAGAGTCTTTTTTCACTTTCAATAGCAAAGTCTTAGCTCTATGGATAGGTCTATGCTTTTCAAAATCTGTGCATGGTTTATGAAACATGCCCAATACATCAGTCCTGTCCATACCTCTGCTGTGTAAATGTCATCGTCTATGCAAATATCAACTTGTAATGCCAGCTTAAGGAAGTTGTAAGGATGATATTCCTGTAGCATCTGGAAGGCAAGCTTCCAGGATTTTGGGGGGTTGGGTAGGGTGGGATGGGGGAGTAACTTTTTAACTAGCTGCTATAGTTTTCATCTCTTCTCATGTTGGGAGCACCAAGTGATGCTGGCGACCTCAGTCCCTGGGATACAACCATTGGGCGTGGATGTCATTGTTGTTCCAATAGCCCCTCTAGATGTGGGCACCAATTAAGGACACCCTTGTTTTCATCTTCAAGGTGCATGGCTTGGTGGCTTAGTGACCAAGTATGGCTGCTGTAGGACAATGATGGCCGTTTTAATAGTGAAGAAGTTCAGTGGTGTTGGCATTGGAACTGGAAAGTCATTTTACTAATGCAGGATTCCACTTCCCTGTGTTGAAATTCTGGGCAAATCAGTTACCTGCAGCCCAAGCTGTAGCTACACGTAGGATTTAGCTCTTGTAATAGACTGAATCTCTTTTTCCCTTTAGAGGTGTGTATATAAGAGAGAATGGAATTAAACTTCAGTTTCACAAATGAATGTGAGCTTAGTATAAAGATAGCAGAGAACAAGGAGAATTGGGGCTGGTTATCACATCATTTTCATTGCAGTTTACTTCCTAGCACTTAACCTAGTCCAAATATTTTCTTCACAACATCGCTACCTTCGGAATTACTCAGATGCTTAGCTGTATTCTGCCGTCTAAATTTATATCTGCAAGAAGGCCCAGGGTGTGCGCATCAAATTCCATGCAAATGGAAAGAACCCGCTTAGGATGCTGTACAGGATGGGACGGTTCCAGAAGCTTCCCGGCACCGCATTTAAACCACTCTGGGTCTTCCTCTCCAGGGTTCCGCAGATTCCTACACGAGCAGGCCCTCGGACTCCGATGTCTCCTTGGAAGAGGACAGGGAAGCGATCCGGCAGGAGAGAGAGCAGCAGGCGGCCATCCAGCTGGAGAGAGCAAAGGTGACTCCTGCCCCTCTTTGGCTCTAGAGCGGAATGTTGATCACCTGCTCTTCCCCTGCCTCGGATTTCTCTGAAAACATCATTTTATGATCATCCTGATAAGGCCCCAGGTTGCAAGGCTTTCTGATCCATTCACCCCTAAATGAGGTTTCGAAACATTCCCGGGGGAGCACTTGCCCAAGACACTGACACTTCACCCTTTTGTGTTTGGTTTGGAGGTGAAGGGTTTGGTCATCTTCCAACTTAGTAATCGTAGCCAATACCAAGCTCACCACACCCAGTGTTGGCAGAGCCGCCTAAGGTTCCAGCTTCACCACCTGTTCCATGACAGTGGCCTTCATTTCAGGCCACACTTGTTCTGTGGGTCTCCCTGTTGATCTCCCCTCTTGGTTTCAGTCTCCCACCTCAAGTTCAGCATGAAGTGCAGAACTTTGAACAAGTATTAGCATTGCAGCCAAGACGAGCAACAAAGGCATTGCAAAATAGACCTTCAGATATCCACAAGGAGGGTTCCCCCCGCCCCCACCCCAGGAATCTGCACCCACAGGAGGCAACAAGTTGCACGTGTAAATGTCAGGATGGGAAGAGTCACATAAGGGTGTTAAAAGAGCAGAGAGAGGAGAATGGTGCTGGCAGTGAGGCAGCCGCCTCTGCTCCCACACCTGCGACGTCTGTGCGGGTCGGCAGAGGGGCTTCGGGGCGGTGCCTGTTAAGGGACATCAGTGGGACCCTCACTCAGGTCCTGTCTCCAGCACTGCTGCTCCCCCGCCATGTTCACAGCTCAAATGCACAAGCCGGGGTTGCAGGAACCTTGTGTTCTCATTTGTGGCTAATTTGTGTTTTAGTTTTCTCTCAGAGTCTGTTTTGTGGCCGTTGTGGTCACCCAAACGTCGGGGCAGTGGTGTTAGCGTAGCTGGGGGTTTGTGTAACCTCTGCCAGGTGGCACCAGCCCAAGGGCACTTGGTCCAAAGGCGTTTCGGAACCCGCTTTTGGTAGCTGGGGAGAAGGCGATGCGTGAGCAGCTCTGCCTTCCTGTCCACGTCCGCGGGCCTTCCTCTTCCCTGGCAGGATAAGGTATTCTACTGAGTGGGTCCCACAGGCTTTCAGATCTGAACTGCTCACTCACCCCCTCCCGCCCCCCACCACAACCTTTTTATTTAAGAACCAGCACCCGTTTCCTGTATCCAAAGAGTGGGGGTGGGGGTGTGACTAGGGGACAAAGCAGACAGCCCCTCCCACTTCCATTCCTTTTCAATGGTTAAGGGCACATTGTTTGTCTGGGATGTTGGAAAGTGCCAGCTCAGGGGGAGGGAGGGTGGGCTGGTAGGACCGAGTCCGAGTCCGTGGCACTGAATCCACAGTTTTCAGTGCCACGTCTGCAGGTGTCTCCATGCTGCCTGACCCAGGAAAACCCAGTGGAGACCCCCCTTTGCAAAGTGATTTCCCCTGCTGCCGGGTCTTATCAGTTGTCTTGTTATAATACTACGTTTCAATATGAAAATTCCTCCTCTGTCTTCCTCCCTCCATCCCCACTCCATGGCTCTGGGCCCAGTCCAAGCCTGTAGCCTTTGCTGTGAAGACGAACGTGAGCTACTGTGGAGCCCTGGACGAGGATGTGCCTGTCCCAAGCACGGCCATCTCCTTCGATGCCAAGGACTTTCTGCACATTAAAGAGGTAAATGGAGGGCTCTCTGCGTCCCCTAACCTGCCATGAGGCCAGGGCCTGAGCTTTGGCTCACGGTCATCACGAGGTGGATTTAGGATACACCTGGTGTCCTCTGGTCACCTTTTAGTCACCGTGCATGACCACAGAGCAGTAGAATCGGATCCGACTTAGGGAAGCATGAGTTCGGCTGGCAGGGCGCCTACCTGAAGGGACCATTTACACGGGATGTGGTCAGTATAAACATCTGGGCTATAACCCTGAGGCCTTGGACCTTGGAACCAACACTAATGAGTGTAATCATTAAGGTGTTAAAGCTAAAACGGGGGCAGAGGTCTTTGGGAAACAGAAAGCTTAAGGGATTGAGCAGTACAAGGAGGGCTTGGAGCCTCTCAAATCAAAAGGTGAACTAGTGACACCGCAAACTTTTATTTACTCAACCTGGGTACATTGAATCCTACTTCACGTCAGACATGGTACTGGGCGTCTGGGGGGACCAGAGGTGGAGGCTCCCGTTCCCCGCTGCCAGGGAGGTCCGAGCTGGTGGAAGAGACTGACAAGTACACAGTTTTCACACGGGGTGACAAGTTCGATGGCAGCACAATTGAGTGGGTGTGGTGGGAACCCAGATAAAGAGCTTGGGGAGGGGGGACCACCACGCTGGGGAGTAGAAGGATCAGGGGCCAGAATGCTCGACAGAAGTGGTGAAGCCTGAGGGAGCCAGGCTGGGGTTGGGGTGTATCGGTGGAAGGGACAGCCGGGAGCAATGCCGATGGCTGGAGGGCAGTAAGCAGGGAGTGGTACTGGGGACGGGCCAGCGCAGAGAGGCTGGAGCCTGATTTGGTTTTTTTTTTTAAAAAAGGTCCGTGTGGGCCTGGCAAGAAGCCTGGACTTTATCACCAGGCAGTGGGCTGGGGAGGAATTTTAAATAAAGGCCGGATGTGACCAGCCTGTGTCTTAACATAACTTAGATGACGAGAGGGTATTGCAGGGGCGGGGGAGACACCGTGGGGCCGGACAGTGGCTGTGGCAGACAGGATGGAGAGAGGCAGCAGCTTGGAGAGAGAGTGAAGGGGCAAACAGACAGGATTGAGAGATTTCCCATGGGCAGGGAGTATTGGGGAAGGTGACATAAAAGAAAAATGAAGGGTGGAGGCTAGTTTTTCCAGCTCACCTGGAAAAGCAAGGGTCAGCTATCAAAATGAGGAAGGCAGAGAGGGGAGAAGACTTGTTATGGGGATGGATGTGGTTAGAAGTTTGCTTTCAGATACACAAGGTCAGGGGTGCTGTGAAATTCCCATGAAGATACTTAGTAAACCTTTATCCATATAATCTGGATGCCAGAAAAGCGGAATTGCAATTTTCTCTTCCTAAATGCTAGCAGTTGGAAAGGAGACTGGGTTCCAGTCAGGAGAAGATAAAGAGCTGAGGCGTTGTTTTTAAATTTAGGTTTTCTTTTTCTTTTTTTGTTTTTAAGATGGGAAAGATTTAAGCATATTTTCCATGCTGAGATGTTGAACCCAGTGAACTATATTGGAAGGAAAAGGCAGAGCTGAAGGAGAGAGGGGCTGGAGTCGAGGGGAGGAGACAGCATCTGGAAAATGGGCACAAGAATTAGGCTGAGTCAGGGGGGAAGCCTTGTCTTCCTTCTCTGTTCTGCACAGAATTTTCTGATGGGGCCAGGGGCATACACTGGAGGAATTTTCTGATGGGGCCAGAGGCCTACTTGATAGTCTCCATTGGCTCCACTAGAGGAAGCATTGGAAATTAGACCTTAGAAAAAGGAGAGCACAGAGGTGGGACAATAAGATGAAACCTGAGAATGGAGGAGCCTGAAGAATGTGATCAACGTAAACATGTCACTCAATGTCACTGAGGTGCTTGCATGGTAAATATATAACAATTTTGAAAATCATTGTCTTTGAAACTCTGCATTCTACTATGGCATTAGTGATACCGGGATGTATGTAAATAGTTTTAATGTTTTTACTATTTAATACTAAGTGGGTCAAACATCTGGATATCTACAGATGTCTCACTCTCCTTGCATTATACCCATGTGACCTACATTTGTATAGTCACTCATTTGAGATATCGTTCTATAGTATATGCCAGGCCCTGCAGATATCCAACAGCTATAAATGAAGTAGATCCTTTTCTCATAGACTTAACCCTTTGAGTGCCAACCAATATCCTAGGAACTGTGCTAAAATTGCCAAGGCATTTTTGCTGATTTTACAGCAGTTTAGGAAAAAAATTATGAAAATTAGGCAGATAAATGCCAGTGGTCAATTTTAGAACTACAAACATTTGGCATCATAAGTAATCTGCACTTAAGTGCCATCTGTCAATAAAGAGTGAACTACTAGCATCTAATAGTGACACTGCAGGAGGAAAGCGATAGAGCTCCTGGCACCTTTGGGGAAGGACAGGTGGAGCGCGATTGCACTCCCCGGCACTCTAGAGGTTAAATTCTACTGAGGACACAGATAATGAACATATTAATAATTGCACATCGTGAATTCTTTGGGGGGGGGGAATGAACCAAATGCTGGAATTTTTTAAATATAAGGATGAGGGGTTTATATACTTCCAAATATAGGGGTGATCAGAGAAAGCCTTTGTGAGAATGTGCCCTTTAAACAGAGACCTGAAGGATGAGGAGAAGCCAGCCTTAGAGCAAGGGGGAACCTTCGAGGACAAGGAATCTGCATGTGCAAAGGACCTGGGGTAGGAAAATAGCTTGGAACAATCAGTTTACTGGGAGAAAGTCATACGGCTGGAATGCAGTGAGCCAGGGGGCCTAGTTGCAGGAGACAGTGTTGTGAAAGTCAAGTAGGGCACAAGTCAGGTAGGACCGTTCGGTGATGGTGAGACTTCAGGTTTTATTCTGAAAGTAATGAGAAGTGAGATGAATTTATTTTTAAAAGGTTCTCTGATTGTGGTAGAGACAATGGATGGGAGTGGATAAGTATGGAATCAGACAGACCATTAGCATCATTCTTGGTGCGAGACCATGGGATCGAGCCAGCATGGTGACAGTGAGATAGAGAGAAGTAGACGGATTTGAGATATATTATAGAAATGCAGTGAAGAGCACAGGTGATGGACTCAGAGTAAGAGCTGAAATTGAGCAATTGGGATGGATATTATTTGGGTGGGGAGAGGACAGATGGGGAGAGCAGTTGGGGAGTGGACACTTCAAAGAAGATATCAAGTAGGAAGTTAGCTATATGAATCTGGAGCTCAGAGGAAAGGGTTGGGCCAAAGATAATAAATTTGGATCATTTGTTTATGCATGGCATTTAAAGCTGTGATAATGAAGGAAGTCACCTACTAAAAAAAAAGAGTAGAGGGAGGGGAGAAGGTAGCTCTGCATCAAACCCAAAGGAATCCCATCCTGCAGAGATGGTGAACATGACAAGATTCAACAAATTAAAACTAAAAAGGAAACTGAAAAGGAGAAGTCTGAGATAGAGGAGGAAAACCAGGGCAGAGTGATATGTGGACATCAAGAGGGGAGTGTGTCGTCAAGGAGGAGGCAGTCAGCTGTGGCAAATGGGACATGTCACCCAAGGTGAGGAGTGAGGAATGGACATTGGATTGGCAGCGTGGTGCTCAGCAGCAAGGAAGTCATTGGGACCACTGTCTGGAATTGAAGAGATGGAAGCCAAATGAAATGGGATGAGGAGAGAAGGGGAGTATATTTCAAGTGTAGACAATGCTTTCAAGGAAGTTGACACTGAGAAGGGCATGAATTCAAAAGCAGTTTCCTTTCAAGTGCTGATATTAACAAACAGAGAGAGAGAAAGTGAGAGAGAGAAAGAGAAGAGGAAGAGGAGGAGGAGGAAGAGGAGGAGGAGGAGGAGGAGGAGGAGGAGGGAGGAGAGGAGGAGGAGGGGAGGAGCGGAGAGG